GGGGGAAAAAATTATTGAGTGGCCGTAGTAGGTAGATTTTACCTTTTCTTATTCCTTTTATCAATTTAATGAGCAGTTTCCGATTTAATCTGTTTTTCTTGGATTACAACTCTGTGATTTCAGGGCTGCCCAAAGCTTCTCAATGGGACTTCGGCTGTGTCCGCAAGTTTTTCTTCTGCGGTGGAATGACATCTGGGGGCGTCAACTTTTTGCCTAGTCTTACCCCATTACCGTTGCCTATGCCAAACCAAACCAAAGCTAATGAACCAATGCAATGTGAGGTTTGCAAAATTGATTGCACAAACAAAGATGTTTTTGAAAAGCTCGTAACAGAAGAGAGCACAGGAAGAATATGCAATTGCTAAATAGCCCCACCAATACAGCGATACCAGGAGCCTCTCATGCAAGTTTACAAAGTCAAATAAATAGGGTCCAAGGACAAGATTTATTTGGTGTGTGTGAGCAAAGGTTAGAGTCTCTAAGAAACAGAAGCTTGTGAGTGGCGGTGCAGCAGTTGATTCAGTAAGGGTTTGCACGATATGTAACGTCGCCTGCAATAGTCAAGATGTGTATAAAACAACACCTATCTGGGAAAAAGCATGCTGCTCAGGTGAATTTTTGCTTTGAATAATCCTTTTTAACTCTTGATATTCGTTTTACTAGTAAGTGTTGGCTGCTGGGACAGTGAAGTCTTGTATAAACACTGTTTCATAATTAGCCGTTCTTGAGTGTCTTGTTCTTATTGTGAAAAGTTTCAGCTCATCTCCACTGATCTCTTTGTTTTTTTATTTTCCAAATGACTAGTATCTTTAACCCATGCCCATCAATCTTGACTCACTTGTACGTGTATTGGCTGGCCAAACTCCAAACGTTCTTTTCATCTGGAACTAATAACTCATAATTAGTTCCATATGGTAAACTGTTGCGATTCTTTGCTCAATATTGAATTATTGATGCTACCAATTTAGTTAGCATGTGTTAAAAGCCCCTTAATGGGGGCAACCATGATCTCAAATGGTCATACATGATAGGGTGTGAAATACTTCTGCTGGTATTTGGTTGAATTAAGTAATGCTTGTGAGAGCGGTTGGCTATAATTGTACTATATTTTTTTCAACTCCTTTGAGAACCTTAGCATTGCTATCTACAACCATCAGATAATTTGAATTAGATGTTGCAGCCTTGCTTGGTTTCTGTTTCAATTGCTCAATTACGTTTACTCCAAAATACCGCACCTCATTTTGTTCTGTGCATATCTCTTACTGGATTTTTATTTGGCTTGCTATGTAGAAATGCAAACAAAAACTGTTATGGTTTATAAGAACGACTAGACGATTTCTACATTAACCGAGAACTTTTGTTCACTTTGCAGATTAGCTTGATGTCTGATAATGGTATTGGTTCTATCTTGCCGCGTTTAAGCATCTTGGCATTGGTCCTTGGAAAAAAGGCCCAAAGAAATTTCTACCCAACCTGCATGGTGCGAACTTTGCAAGATCAGTTGCAACAGCAGGGATGTATATATGACACACTTAGCTGGGAGGAAACACCTGAGGAACCTGGGGTTGCTCTCAAAATCAAATAATGCTTTGCAGCGCGCAACCAATCCAGTTGTTAGGCCCCAGGAAAGGCCCAAACACTTGTGAAGATGAAGGGATAAATTCACAGAAGCCAAATAAGCAGCCATGGTTGAGGATATTGAAGCAAAGAAACGTAAACTTATAAAAGGTGGGGCAGCAGAAACTGACATTAGAATATGCACTCTATGTAATGTGGGTGCAACAGCCAAACGGTGTTCAATTTTCACCTTGCTGGGCAGAAGCATGCTGTAATGGTGAAGCTGATGATGCAGAAGCAGCCAGGGTCAAATTATATATATTCATAGCGAAGAGAGCTAGGGACAGAAAACGTTTGGAGTTGGAGGTCCCATGCATTATTGGAAGAATGACCATGATCCTATGAGGTTTCAGGCAAGAAAAATAATCACTCAAATGTCCCACAACAAATGTGCAATACGCAATGATAAGTTTTGGTACACAAAATAACAATGATTTATAATTTTACATTACTTGTTGTAAGATTTTTTAGTGATTATATTTCTTTCTTATAGTGATTTTCCCTACATTATTTTCAGCACTGGCAGAATAAGATGACTTGGCTGTTAACTGTGATTAGAAGGCAAGTCCTACACGGGAAAAGGCAAGGCTTACGCTGCAGATCGATGGGAATGGAAATGCCTCTTTGTGATCTTATTGTCATTTCTACCACATGGGAAATTGGGGATACTGACCTTACAAAAGCCTTTATTTATTTTATGCAAAAAGTCAACGGTGCAGTTTAGCGCAGTGGATCTTTCACGGATAATGTGACAAAAAGAAATTGTACTTTTCGAAATTTTGGACAATTAGTTGCATTGTCAAATTTTTGTTATCATTTTCGACTTCTCGTATTAAGCTACATGTTTATTATATTTTTCTATACTCAATATTTTAAGGATAATAATAAAGATATAAAAATTATATATAATTTATTATCCATTAATACAGAAGTATATTTATCTCTCATGTACTATGGTACATGTTAATATTTTTAAATTTAATTAACTTGAACGCGCTTTTAAATGAAAAATTAAATTATGATAATTTAAACATAGGATAAAATTAAACGGCAATGACTTTCAATTTAAACAATTTTTAAATTCTTTGAATGACTTTTTAACTTAATAAATTTTTTTTGCCAGAATAAAAATGAATAATTGATTTTTTTGCATAATTAGTTGGATGCCTTAGATAGTGTTTAAATTATATTCCTCCTATTTCAGGCTTATTTTGTAGTACAAATTGTATTATAAAATAGGTCTTAGATCTATGATAGAAGGATTTTAAACTTTAGTTCTAAATAAAAGTGATAAATCAATTAGATGTGAACAGAAACATGAATTTTTTTTTGTTACAAGAGGAGGGATCGAACCCGCAACGCACACTCCTACACACAAACCACTCGGCCAAGTGGAGAAAAACATGAATTTATTAGAATGAAATTATGGATCATTCTAAAAAAAAAGTTGATGAAATCCATTTAATGCTTCACTCTTGCACATCGGGCCCAAATAATTAGCCTTTTAAACAAGCCCAATCCGAAGATAATAAGCACCTAGCATCGCGTGTTCCTTCCTTTTCTTCCCATTTTCCATGCCAGCTCAAATAGAATGTCTTCGAACCTTGCCATGGGGGCTGCATTTAAATTTTGAATCATTGTAATGGGAATAGCATGGACTAACCTTCGTATTTGCTTAATTTTTCTCCCAAGACGAATTATCTAATTCAGGTAACTAGCTCAGATTCCTACCGTTTCTGTTTCATGTCGATATATTAATGTATTCGGTGCTGATGAATGAGTTCGGAGTCGGTTTTTCTGAGGATTGAATCTTTAGGCGTACTTCCCAATTATATATCTACCAAATCCCCGTCAAGGGTTTTACTAAGTTCTTTCGTATGGGGCGATGAACATGAAAAAACTAGTATTTGTTTAATCATGGGTCAAGCTCGCATTCTATCATTTCTCCCTTATGTTATGTTTCACCTGGAGAAAGTAGCTGAGGTAGTTAAGATTAGGTACTTTTAAGAAATTTGAAAATCAACTTCATTACTTGCAGAATCATGTTATGAATTTTTTTGTCTTCAGTTGCTAATCCATTTGACTGTTATATATCTTTAATCTTGGAAAAACTGTTGCGCGTTAGCTGTTGGTTGGTGTTTGTTCTTTCGTATGTACCACTACTGCCAAATTTAACGCGACTTATCTGTTAATAAACACCCATCATGTACTCCTCCCTAAGGCACTTGCGTCAGATTGCTTGCAGAAATGTCAAATAATTTCAGAAGTGACACCGATACTTCTTTTAACGCGGAGGAACTCTTGAAAATTAAAACAAGATGTAGAGAGGTACCGTTTCTACCCCTTTCAGCTTCTTGCTACGCGGAATCAAATCATGTACCCTATTAGGAATGTGAAGTCACATAAGACTGGATGACTTTCATTCTGTGCTCGAGAGAACAGAAATCCTTACATGGGTTACTGATATTTAATCAAACTGGTCGTCATATATATATATATATATATATATATATATATATATTTGTTGACTGCTTTAACAAACTTTAATTGTGTGTCCTAAAAGAACAGAGCCCTTTTCCATGCTGTATGTAATTTATATATCATTTGAACTTTTTACTGATGTGGATTCTGTTTGACATGCAGCTTAGAAAAGAGAAGGACATGATAAATTGTTCACAATCCCAAATTTTTGAGCTACTCCGGGTACGTCACACCAGATTGAGTTCAAGCTATTATATTACATTATGTTTTATCAGGCATTTTACATATTTTTGTAGGGAGAGTGGGAATGTAACATTATGATCTGATACTAGTCTGATTTTTGCCATTGATGCAGATAATAGAACTACATGAGAAGTCATTATTAGAGACTAGCATAAAAGATAAGACACACATACAGAGGTTGGAAGAAGAGCTATTGAACTGCTCTCAGGAAATAGGTAGTTTGTCATGTTTCTTAGCTTTAGATGCTCTTTGAATGGGTTCTTTCTATGAAAGTAATTAAAGCTCTTTCAGATTATTGATAGATGGAAAGTAGTCCATGTTGTCAATTCTGTTTTATTTATATGCATATAAGTTGCACGTCTTTACTCTCTCTCATAAGTGAACCTTTTGTGCAACAGATGATTGCCGTCCAATAACATTATTTTTTTCGTTCTTTTTGGCCAGCAAATTAAGTTGTAATAATCATCGATTTTCAATGAATTTGATTTATCTAGTAGGTTTTTTTTTGGAGGTTTTACTCATTGGCTTTATTTGATCATACTCGATACAGATTACCTTAAGGATCAGCTTAATGGAAGGAACATGGAGGTCAAATACCTGCAAGAGCTTGTTTACAGCTTTAAACTGAAAATAAAGGATATGGAAGGCTTACAAGATGAGGTTATCAGGTTAAAAGAGGAGCTGCAGAGATCCAGTTCTGAACAATTTTTCTTGTTGAAGGAATTAGTGACTAAAGAAATGGAATTGGAGAAGTCAACACTGTCCGTAGAGAAATTTAAGGAATCAATTTCATCCATGGCATTAGAGTCTGAATGTGAGGTAGAGTGCATGAAACTTGACATGATGGCCTTGGAGCAGAGTCACTTTGAGGCTAAGAAAATACAGGAGGAAACTCTGGAGGAAAACACTAGAATGAGTAGATTGATTGGAGAGCTTCAATTTAAATTTCAGGAAGCCCAAAAAAATATTGTCTCTCTGAATGAGGAAAATAAGAAACTTAACAATAAGATTGATGCTGTCAATGTGAACACCGGAAATTTTTCTCAGAAGGTTGAAGAGTGGCTAGAAAAGAAGGACAGATCACAACTCAATGGTCAGTCTTCCTTGAGCGAACAAGAGAAGGGTTCAGACATATCAAAGGATATAAGGTATACAATGGAAGATGTTTGGTTTTTCAACTAATCTGCATGTAACAAGTGTCCTGTTAAGTATGCTATCATAATTGTGTTATAATGGAAGGACAATGGTTTTCCTCTATGGTGGTGAGCTTGTGACTCTGGCAGTTTTGCTTGATCTTTTATTTGATAGTTTCAGAATGAAATTGCCAATTTCTCTTCTTCAAGGGCATAAAATCAAATCGGGCGTCTCTTTCTACTTTCTTCTTCTTTCTTGCTAATGAATGTTCTCCCTTAAAAGAAGCACTGATTAGTAATATTTCAGAGCCACAGTGTCTTTACTTTTGTCATTAAGTGGATGCCTGATATTGTAAGCATTGAACTTATTACACTTTACTTAATTGCTCCTTTTACTCTTGTGAGATTGTATGTTTAAATGTAGGGATATAGATGATGGATTCTGAAAATTGAAGAAGTGCCTTGGTTTATTTGTAATTTTATTAGCCAAATAATGTTCCAGTTGGGTCCTAATTCCTATATATATGGTCTTCAATCATTTAATCTCAACTGTTGAATGTAATATTCCATAAACGGCAAGCATACCAGGAAATATTCAACATGTCAATTTGGACACTAGTGTACAATTGCCGAGAGGAAATTTTTTGTCATGTGATCTTCTTTGGCTGGCAGTTACTGATAATTTAGGTTCATAATTGAATTGTTTCCTTTAAATTATTTTAATCTGAACTTACTGAATTGAAGCATTCTTTCGCAAAATTTATGACAATATTTTCATGTATTTCCACAAGTGTTTATGGAGAAGTATTGGGTCCACTCCTTGGGAGGCTATCTTTGGCGTTGGAAACAGATGCAGATATTAAAGAGGAGATGCAGAAGATGTCACATCAGATGCAAAAGTATAAAACACTTGTGGAGAAACTTAAGGTGTGTACATTTATTGAAGCACAAAATATTGAAATGGTTGGCGTCTATTCCTGAAATACAAAAGTGAAAATACGGTGTACCTTTTTAATTGCGCAATTTGATCTACTCAAGTTTATTTAGAGCCTGGACATGTATATAGTGATTTCAAACTTTTACTAGGAAGAATTAAGAGAAGAAAAGTTGAAGGCCAAAGAAGAAGCAGAGGACCTTGCTCAAGAAATGGCAGAGCTTAGATATCAAGTTACAGGTTTGTTAGAAGAAGAACGTAAGCATCGTGCTCGCATTGAACAGGCATCCTTGCAAAGAATTGCCGAGTTAGAAGCGCAGGTATAATTGTAAACTCATGGCCTCCTTTCTCTCGTCTATCAGAAGCTAATCCAAGAAAATGCGTGACTTTCGTCCTTTTTCTTTGCAATCAAGCTTCAAAGAGAACAGAGAAAATCTTTATTTGCTGTCCGCGGTCTCCCTGAAGTGTAGAAACTGGAATTATTCAAAGTTTTTCAAGTTCATCAGAAGAGACTCATCTTAGAGGTTTGTGCCTACTTATATATTTGGAGCCCTTTTAATCCTTTCACGCGGTCTGTTTATGAATTGTTATTCTTTCTCAATGATGTATTGTTATTGTGCTGATTGTAATTGCTTTGCATAATATACTGCTGATAAAATTACTATATCGTGGACAGATGTACTGAAAGATGTAGGATGTCTTCTCATGTCTTGGTTCCTGGAGAAGAGAAATGAAGTGGCTGTACAGAAGAACTAGCTCGTGCGTGTTACAGTGTATTTTGTGATATGGGGTGCAAGAATTGATATAAACACATTGATTGAATTTTGTACAGATGCCTGCGATCTCTCTCTCTCTCTCTCTCTCTCTTCTCTTCTTTCTTGCAATAGTCTTGATCAGGGTGGGGAATGTTGTGAAGGATTGACTTTTAGGTCAAATTCTGTCATTTGAAATTTTGCTATTTTTTTATATTGGGCGTGAGCAACCTAGTATTGTGATGTTTTCAGTACGCCCTAGACGAAATCGTAGGTCATGGCTTGAGCATAACAGTTGCTCTTGTAATTGTAAATTCATCTATATATGTTTGGGTATGAAGATTTTTAGTATTTTAAATGCCTAAATTTAAGTTCAAATTTCCCGTCACTTATTCGCACCTCTGTATTTGGGTGTGTGGATAACTCTGTATGCACTCATGTACGTATTCTCGAGTGATTGGTATACTAAATTTTACATGTATTTATGTCAATATGTTATGATTAGATATTTTTGGTATCATACATCATTTCAAGAATCCTCATGCATTTTATGATTTGCAAATAGTATAATTTGAGGTTGGCAAAAAAACGTAAATGATATAATTTCAGATAAAGTTTTTATTTTTATTTTTTTTATAGAAGGACAAATTTTATTATAAATTTGTATTAATATATTAGTGGCAAGGCTCCATTTTAATCATAAAATCATTGTTGAATTCGGCAACATCTTTGAGAGGCATATGTAATGTGTGTGTGTATTCAATCATTCACCGATTTAAAATAGTAACTGGCCAAAAAAATAATGTAAATGGCATTAGGAAGTCAATGGCTGCGGCATGTTCTTTAATGGCTCGGAATTCTCTTTTGAAGAGCAAGATATAAAAACAAAATAAAACCAGAAATTTCCTCATACGTCACACGGATGTTTCCAAAATCTACTTTAAAACAAACTTGGTGTTGTCAATCCAACGAAATAGGATAAATGAAAAAAATATATATTAATTCATCCAAGGAGTTGACAAAGTCATACGGTTTTCGGTCTGAATCAAATGACTTCCAACATGGCCCATCCTAACAATTAAAAGAAGAAAAAAAATCATAAATGGCGTCCACGCTTGATTTATTCAAAACTCAAAAATGAAATCTAAACAACGCCAACGACGAATTCTGAGAGCGAACGTGATGTGTGGCCCCCAGTCCCAAAAACACCCGCCGTGATTACCTAAGCTGCTTGGGGTCCTTCTCGAGTGCTTACGCAAAATATATATATATATATATACTCCTCCGGTCTTTATTATAAGACCCAATTTGACTTTTTATTTGGTCCTAATTATAAGATCCAATCCATTTTGTCTCTTATATTTATGCATTTTTTTCCAAGATAATCCTTCTAATAATGATAGTTTTAGCCAATATACTTAATTAGTAAGGATATTTTAGGAATGACAACACTTATTTATTATAAATAACCAACTTAACTTACTTTCTTAATCTCCTCAAATAAGTCAATTGGGTCTTATAATTAGGACCGGAAGAGTATATATATAAATATTGTGTACTCGCTCCACCCATCCTGGCTTCGTTGCAGTTTCCTACCCTCCCTCTTTTCTTGACGCGATTTTGCAAGGTTTCTACATTTGCCGGTTCTTTCAGTTGAAATAGTCCCTTTCCTTCTCCCATTTCTTGTTCTCCCTCTTGGGACTCGAAGGCTTTAAAATTGTTGGGTATTCACTTCTCCTCTCGTAGTTCTTTCGGTTTTTTCTTTCTGCACATTCGTTGGGTTTCTCCAGGTACTCATCTACTTTCTCTTCAACAATCATTGATTTCTGAGTGTTCTGTTACAGTATAAAGCCCATAAATTGTAGGACTCCTGATGGTTTTTATGATCACCTAATGGTCAACGTTGCTTCCTCTCTATCTCTGTTGATTGGAATTTGAAGCTATTATTGAAGCTTTTATAATTCTTTTCGTTATCCAAAGATTTTTCTTCGTTCATTCTCGGACGAGCTAAAGAGACCGAAGAGGTTGTCGAGTCCGTCGTCAGTTTATATAAGTTTTAACGCCTCTTTTTTCTCGTCGGCTTTGAGATTGTGTTAATGAATTCTTCCTGCAATTTGTGAATCCGTTAATCTTCGATATTTTAGTTCGTCGTCTTTTGACTTCCTTCTTAAGTAATTTTATTGAACGTACCCTTAATTGATAAAGACTGGTTTTCTTTTATCCTAGGAAGACTAACTGATTCGTAATTAGCGCCTTGATAGTATGATATTTGCCTATTTGTCTACAATGACAGTGCATGAACAGTTCTTGCTTATTTTTGCAGGGAGAAATTGTTCTGCGTTCACGTTACTTAGGACACCGTTGTTTCTTGTTAAATTGATTTACCCCCTCACCTTGCTCTTCCTCTAACCAAATTCTGCAAAGTGTTCTTGCTTACTGCTTAGTGGTGACTTCGAGAGAATGTTTGGTTCTAAGAAATCTCCCTTGAAGTTCTCAAAACACAATTCTGTTGATCCTGTCTATCCTGTCCAATCAAAGTCAAACCCGTTTGATTCTGATGATTTGGCAAAGGACGGCAAAAATTATAATTCCTCTAGGAGGAGTTCCTCAGATCCTACCCTGGTAACAACAGAGGTCAAGACCAACCCTTTTGATGATTATGATGTAAATGGGAACTCTTCATTATCTTCCTATGCCCCTCGATCAGCAGACCGAAACAAGTATAAGAATGATTTTCGTGACTCAGGAGGAATAGAAAATCAGTCAGTGCAAGAATTGGAGAATTATGCTGTTTACAAGGCTGAGGAGACGACAAAATCAGTTAACAATTGTTTGAAGATAGCAGAGGATATGAGAGAGGATGCTACCAAGACTTTAGTCACCCTGCATCAACAAGGAGAGCAGATTACCAGGACTCACCATGTTGCCGTCGACATTGATCAGGATCTTAGTCGGGTACACTCTGGTTTTAAAGAGTTATTTAGTGCATGCTTCAGTGTTCCTATATTGAGTGGCTTCTTGGTGTCCGTTTACCTAGACTATTGCTTCTTTTGCTATACAGCCTGCTGTAAAGTAACATTCTAATGATATTCTGGACTAAACTGCTTGAATGCCTTTTACAGGGAGAAAAGCTCTTGGGAAGCCTTGGTGGCATGTTTTCCAAAACTTGGAAACCAAAGAAGACACGCAACATAACTGGCCCTATTATATTTGGAGGTTTTATTCTTTTTCCCCTCCACTTACTTTATATGTATGTACGTGTATGTAACATATGCATGATATACTTCATAACACAGATGATCCAGTACGAAGAAAGGGCAGCCACTTGGAGCAGAGAGAGAAGTTGGGATTGAGCCCTGCACCAAGAGGGCAGTCAAAGTCCCGGACACCACCTCCTGAACCGACAGATGCCCTTCAAAAAGTTGAGGTTTGTATCATTCAGTGAACATTAACCTCTTGTCTAAAGCTAGCTGAGCGTGACAAAACTCAATTATCTTAAGGGCTCTTGATATGTTATAAATCTCTCTTGCAAAAATATGGGATTGGTGGATTCTTACTATAGCTTTTAGTTGCACTGGCCGATGACTCGTCCAGATAAGCATTCTTTATTAGCAACTACCGATATTCTGGCAATTTTGCTCATCTTACTCTGATTAACCCCATCAGTATGTAGTCTGTGTGTGTCCAACTTGGATAATGCCACTTCCATTTGTTATTTTCGTCTTCTGTGATGTTGTAAGGTTCCATAATTGGCTAATAAATAACTGTCCTTGAACAGTTTGAGAAGGGGAAGCAAGATGATGCACTGTCAAATTTAAGTGATATCTTGGGAGAGCTGAAAGACATGGCTATTGACATGGGACCCGAAATGGATAGGTTAGTTAAATATTCGTTTATTCTCCTATCTAGTTTCACCTTCCAGTTGTTCTTGAGCACTAGAAGAAAATCTTTTGCCCAATCCTTGTGAAAATAAGCAACATTTTAAGCAACACTTCCAAAAATTCCCAGCAAAACAACTTTTAACTTGACTTATCTATTGGTAATGTCGGTGCTGTTGCAGGCAAAACAAGGCCATTGATCATATGTACAATGATGTGGATGAGTTGAATTTCCGCATGAAAGGTGCTAACCAACGTGGCCGTCGTTTACTTGGAAAATAGGGGGCAGAGTTTTCATATTCATTTCCAGCTTCTCCTATTGCCTTATACTGATCCTTTACTTTTCGCTGTTGTATTTTTCTTTTACTTTTTTGGGATCAATAAAACAAATTCTTCAATACATATGATTTTTGTTTGCACAATTTTAAATGTGCAACGTATTAAACTTCACCTGCCTGTTTCCAGGATTTATGACTAGTCTTCCCGACTTCCCCATATAGAAGGCTCATCTATCCTCCAGCTATATTCTCTTCTAAGACAATGATTGATTGAATCTAAACTCTAAAAATGCGATACTCCGAACTATAATTCCTTGATATGGAAAAAAATTTGCGTCAATGACATCATGCAATACCAATAGAATAGAAGAAGGAGTAATGTTTTCTGAAAAGCCACAAGTCTATAGTAGTGGAAAAAGGTAAAGAAGAAACTGAGTGGCAGCTAAAAAATAAAGAATGAGTGGGTAGGAGGAAATAGGGTTAAGTTACTCTATCTTTAAAATTAATAAATCTTCATTTAATTAATTAATTGATTTATCTTATTGTTATTATTATTTGAAATCCCATTAAACCTAAATATATAACCGATTCATATGAAATCTGCCAAAATCAATCAATATAATTTTTTTTTTAATGTTAAACTCTTTTTGTTTATATATAAATATAGGTGCGTGTATATTTTTATTAAACTTCATATAACAGATTTGAAATTTGAATTTCAATCTATTTCATATTATCATCATCATCCATCACCATTTTTTCTACGTTTATTAATACCTATGCACTTATTTATAATTTTGTTTTATTTTATTTGACTCTCTTTTAAATATCTCATTTTCTTGAATTTATTGTTATATATATTTATTTGCATGATCAAAGATTTAATCCAAACTTTCTATAAATAACTACTTATAAACCCAAATAAAATTTGGGATATTACACCTTATCCTTCTCCTTACCCTTCCTGTTAGTACCCTCCTTACCAATGTCCTCTATATTCTTAGCCATAAATTTCGCCTCATTCCTAGCACTCCCATCTTTCCTGCCATCAGGTTCTTCACGATGCCAAAAATGTTGTTTAGCGCGCATTAGTAGACCATATCCTGTACTCGGTTTTTTCCGATTTTCCTTTATAGATGTGACCGTCACGTTTGTCAATGGAGCCTTACCAGATTTTTCCACCACGGGTTCCAAAATGCTAGAGCTTCCCTAATCATTCTTGCTAACCTCCGTGGTAGTCTTACTTGCGGGTATGTTCAGTAAGCACTGATCTCTATGGTGGCCATATTTGCCACACTTGAAGCAAACCATATGCAAACCTTTGTATTCGATCTTGTAATCCTCCCCCGACACATCAAAAATCAGATGTAAAGTTTAGTAAAATTTAGTGAGGTCGAGTTCCACATGAATACGAGCAAAGCCACCTTTGTCCGTGATAGAAGTCGTCTGATCGATCTTCAAGGTCCTACCCACCATTTTACCTATCATCAGTAAGGACTCGACATCATAAAATTCCACTAGTAAATCCGGCATCCTTATCCAAGCAGCAATCTTCCTATGTAGTCCACCCTCCAAGGGTTGAAATTCAGACTCCACAGTTGCACCAAGAGGTAGTGGCCTTCTATCATCCACAAACCCTCTTGATACGCATAGTCAAATTCTTCCTTGGTCGAGAAAGAAACAATATAATAACAATTTTTCAGGTATATAATTTTCATGGGGTTTTGCGATCTCCACATCCTCCAAATACGACTCTTCATAAAACTGATTGGAAAGCTCTTCCCTAACAACTTAACAATGATTGAGTTCATCTATGGGTGACATCAGTGTTCACACGCTTTCATTGTCACCGGTAAAGATGGTTTCTTCATCTGCTTCCCAACTAATTTTTCTTCCTTGTCCTCGTCCGCCATATTCTCATCCACAGGTCCTTTTTGCACAACATCCCACTTTGCAAAATAGTCCTTCCATCCATTCATCACGTCATTGGCATCTTCCTTATACTCTAGGAAACCTAAATTTGATAGACCTCATAACTTTTCCTTGTACAAAACGTTATGTGGCCTCACAATAGTGCTGCCTCCTTGCTCTTCCACCATACTCCCCTCCCTCTCGCTCTTAACCTTCTTCTTGCTCCGTTGCAATAAGTCCATCTCCTCTGTGCTCTTCCCTCCGTTGTTCTCACCTCCGTCGCTCCCAGCTCTTGTCTTTTCACTCATCTTCAAGTTGGTTAATATAAACATAACATTTTTATATGGGATTTACTCTTGAAAATTGGTTGATACAATGATATCTCAAATTTGATTTAGATTTCAGAAAATTGATTGTCAGTTAGTTGATTTGAAATAGCAAATTGATTGTTGTCATTGTTGTAAAGAGAAGAACTACATTCAATATTAAATTAGCCAGAAGAAAAGAAAACATGAAATATGCATTTGTCATTAGAAGACTAATCTTAAAAATTAATACAATTGGTAGATATTTCTCATACTTTAGTTGAAACTTAATTATTTGCATCAATAATATATAAAATCTGATTGTACAACTCCTGTTTCTTCAAAGCAATTTATTGAAAAGTTTCCAGCTTCCCAATGAACAAAAGCTCATTACTGACAGTTAAAAAAAGCTTACAATTAGCAATCCTAGTATACAAGATTTATTAAGAAACCTTAAACTCATTCTTTTGGTGTCTAACACAAGCTGGAGCATGAAAGTTTGGGTAAACAACAAATACAATAGATAAAGGAGCCACAAAAATGTGAGAATGTTCATTTTTGTGTACTAAATCCAAATTTGAAATGTCTCCTTGGCTTGTCAACTGGATCAGAATACCGTTTAGCAACACTATACAGCTTTGAGGGTCGTGATCGTTCGAAGTTAAATGGTACTTCTCTGAAAGTGACATAAGATCCTTTGGTTCCAACCCTGAAAATGTCTTCTTGAGATGATAAGTGAAAGAGTTATCTCTGCGGATGCTTTTCACCTCTTTTGTTCCTTCATTATTTAACAAGGGAAGCGAATGTGCGACTCAGAACTTAGAGGACTCGCTAATTAGTGAAGATGATTAGAATTTGGATTTTTATTGCAGGATCCGCACCAAAGAGATTAAGGCAGCTCTTAAGAAAATGGACAATAGTAAAGCTATTAGACCTGATGGTATTTGTATTGAAGTTTGGAAATGTTTAGGCGAGAAGGGTGACTTGTGGCTAACCAAGCTTTTTAATAAAATTTTACGCTCCAAGAATATGCCAAATGAATAGAGGAAAAACACTTTAAGCCCTAATTACAAGAACAAATGAGACATTCAAAACTGTACAAACTACAGAGGGATAAAACTTATGAGCCATATGACGAAGTTATGGGAAAAAGTGATTGAACATTGGTTGAGGTTGGAGACTTCTATTTCTGAAAACCAATTTGGATTTATACCAGGGAGATCCATAATTGAACCAATTTATTTACTAAGGAGGTTAATGGAAAGATATAGGAGTAAAAGAAGAGATTTATATATGATTTTTATTGACTTGGAAAAAACTTATGATCATGTTCCAAGAGAAGCACTTTAGAAGGTTTTGGAAAAGAAAGGTGTATTCGTGACTTATATCAGAGCCATACAAGAAATATATAGGAGGTAACTACTAGTGTATGAATGCCTAGAGATGAGACAAAGGACTTTCCTATTAAGATTGGCCTACATTAGGGATCTTCTTTAAATCCTTACTTGTTTAATATTGTTCTGGATGTTCTAACTGAGTTTATTAAAAAAAAATTCTTAAATGCATGCTTTTCGCGGATGACATAGTCCTCATGGCTGAATTAAAAGAAAAAATTAATTCTGGATTGGAGTTATGGAGAAGGACTTTGAAGCCGAAAGGTTTTTGCTTAAGCAGAAACAAAACAAAATATATGCATTGCAATTTTGGGGGGAGGCAAGGCAATGATGATTTGGGGGTGAAGATGGGAGATCAAATCATTCCTCAAGTATCAAAGTTTAAATATCTAGAATCTATTGTATATGAGGATGGTGAAATTGATGAAGAAGTTTCTCATAGAATACAAGCTGGTTGGTTAAAGTGGAGGAAGGCTATTAGAGTTATTGTGATAAGAAGGTATCTGAGAAGCTTAAGGAAAAATTTTATCGGACTACTATAAGACCAGCTATGTTATATGGTAGTGAATGTTGGGCGATAAAGGGAAAACAAGAGCATAAAGTTGGGGTAGTAGAAATGAGAATGTTGAGATGGATGTGTAATCATATAATAAAAGATAAGATTTGAAATAAAATTATTAGAGCAAGAGTAGGTGTGGTGTCTATCGCAGAGAAAATGACTAAACATTGCTTGAGGTGGTTTGGACATTTGTAGAGAAGGCCATTGGAAGCCTCAGTGAAAAGAGTAGATCAAATAGTATGGAGTCTCATAAAAAGGAGTAGAGGAAGACCGAGAAGAGTGCTTAATGAGGTCATTGAACGAGACCTCCTGGTCAAAAATATATTTAAAGACTTAGTTGTTGATAAGCTCAATGGTGTCGTGCGATTCATATAGCCGACCCCACCTAGTCGGATAAAGCTATTACTGTTGCTATTGTTAGTTTCTTTGTTGTTTACAACCACGGGGTTTTGAACATCGAGAATGAAATTAGTCTATTTGCTTTTGTCACTTCCACATCAGTTGAGGAGGCATCAAGCACCATTCGGGCGTTAGATGGACAGGTAATTGAGTCTTGTTACTCTCGAGATTAGAGTCTCATTAGTTGCTGTACCAAGCTATTCTCATTATAGATGTGTTGAAGCTGTACAAGCTATTAAATTTTTGGATGTTGAAAAGTTTGTTTTAGCCCTATTACATGCCGTTAGAAAGGTGTTAGTTGTTTATTTGGTACAATCATCATAATTTTCTCATAGCACATCATGAAGTTATACACATTGCTAGAAAAAAGCTTTTAACGGCTATTAAAATAAGTTTTCTCCTACAATTTTGGAGACAATGTGAATTAAGTCGATGTTGAAAAGGGAATAAAAACATAGCGGTTTTAAACCGCTGTGAAAAATAACTTTTCACAACGGCTTTTTAGTTAAAATGCCGTGGAAAGTAAACTTTCCATGGTGGTTTTACTAACCAAACTGTTGTTAAAAACTCCAATTATTTTTTAATACTGTGCAAATTTTCTTTACAACCTCCCTGCAATTTACAAACCCAAATCAATCAGCAAAGACAG